TTTTCATCTGTTAACAGACTAAATGAAGTCTGACTTATTATTTTTTGTAAGCTTGCTATTACTTCATACAACTGAATATTAATAAAATAAATTACTATATCTAACTAAGAAACATCATTTTTAAAAAATCAATTGTTTTATATATGATTTTATTAAAATAGTTAACTTAAAATAAAAATGTAGACAAAAATAACCTAAATAAATCGAATTTACCGAAATTATGTACATTATATACAATTTTATATAAAATCTGAAAGTTTTAAATTATACTCAATAAAAATAGATTATGAAATACAACTTTATTAAAATATTTTTTATACCATCTGCTTGCATTCTATTAAGTTTTTCATGCCTTTCTATTACGGCAAATTATTTTTGCAATGGCTAATTAATGAGACAATAATTGTCAAAGTGCTACTTCCTCAACGTTGTTAAAAAAACGCTTTATTAACGTTGGCAAAGTAACACTTTTTCCACTTTTTTTTGGTATATGTAACTTTAATAAACGTTGTTTTATATATAGCTTAAAAAGCAGCTTATATCTAACGTTGATAAACCTTAAACTTTGCAACGTTTTGACAGTGATTATTTGCGTATTTTTATTCAACGTTGAATAAACGCGATTTTTTGAGAAGATATGATACGTTTAAATTTTTACGCTCATTCAACGTTGAAAATGTAACTTTTTAAAAGCAGTTTTTTTTTTAACGTTGATAAAGCATTAATTTTGAAACGTTGTTAAAGTAGCTTTTTGCGTTTGTTGATTCGGCGTTGAATCAACGTTTTATTTAAAGAAGCTAAATTACGTTACAATTTTAACGCCTATTCAACGTTTGAATTTACCGCGATTTAGTATACAAAAACAGTCATTGATTCAACATTGAAAGCGCGTTGTTTTTGTGACTGTAACGCTTTTTCTACGCTGCGACCGGTTTTCAACGTTGATTCAACGCTGACATGTTTGCTGGGTATTTTAGGTTTATTAATATTTTTTAAACCAATTAAAACTAATAAAATCACTCACACATTTATTATTTATATACTTCTTAATTCCTCATGTGCGTGTATATATTGTTATTTTTTTTACTGTCATTTTTTTTTAATATTTGGTTTTTGAAAGATGTCACCAATTTTAATTGATTCCAAATTATTTAAAAAGGCAAGATCGAAGACATCAACTAGGTAATTACTTTTGGAAACTTTCTAGTTTGATAAAATAAAATAATGATGTAAATGTTAATGAAACTAAAAATTATCTAATAGCAAATTCATTTTATTATACTAATGCATCAGTTATAAAAATCAACGTAAATGAATATTTTTTTAAAAATTGGTTTAATAAGTTTTCTTTTTCACCTTCAGCTCCGATTAGCATAGAAAAATAAAGTGTACTGTTGAAGGATGCTCCAAAGAGACATTTGATCTAACTAGGCATTTACGTGGAAAAAAACACAAAAATATTCCAGAAGAATACATAAAAAAAGTCTTATCCATTTTTAATCTGAGAAAAAGATCATCAGATTTAAAAAAATCAAGTAAGTACACTGTTCTTGGTTGTCTTAGTTCTATATTGAGGGTTGATGATCACTTGGAAAAGTTCATGGACTTAAATCAACTGATGAGAATTACAGAACTTTAATAGAACACTCAAAATCAGTTAATTTTCAAAATACTACAACGGATAGCTTGTTATCACCCTTTAAGTATTTCAAAAATTGATCAAGAATAAAGGAAACAACAGTTCTTTCACTTTCAGTACCTGAAAGTGAAAAAATTTGAAGTTTTTGTAGTAAACCTCAAAAGGAAAAAGAGTTAATTATGTCTCCTAGTCCAGGAGTTAGCATTTCATCTGCTACAGTTAGTTCTTCTTTGCTTAGTCCAGTTGTTAGCAGTACTTTGACTACAAATAGTTCTTCTTCCTCCAATGTTGATGTTGATGCAGAAGAAAAACCTGATTCAGACGCTGAATCAAGCATTTTTGAAACAGAAGATGATTCTAGTGACGAACTATTTGTTTCTAAAAGTATTTTATTGCCTCTTCGAAGCAATATACTTACGTTTTTAGAAGAGTTTCAGAACTTTTTGCTTGGTCCAGAAAACTTGAGAGACAAATGTTCTGCACTAGTAAGTGTTGGTGATGTCAAACGATTTTTTCATCTTGTTGAAGCTAAAGAAAACATTGCAGATGTTTTTAATGTAAATACAATTCGGGATATTTTTATTTCAAAGCTGGTAAACAAAAACCTAAATCCAGGATCCATAAAAAAGTATTTGTATTCCTGATTAACTTTTGTGATTTTTTGTTATTAGACAAATCAGCTATGTTGCTGTCTAATTGCAACAGCTCATGTGTAAATCATCTAAAGCTATGTATAAGTAAATGGAGGAAGACATACAATAAAGATGATAAAAAAATATTTTAGGAAAGACAAAAAACAGATTATGACTCAAGAATTACACCTGAGCAGGTGAAAGCTTATTACAAATCTGAAAACTCAGTTGAAGCGTCTAAGCTTTTTGATGTCTATGGCACTATTTCTAAAACAGTCACTAAATTCAAATATACTATCATGAGAGATCATTATATTGTTGTGATACGTCTTGAAAATGCTAACAGATCCGGTGATCTAATAGGTCCAGCAAATTTTTTTGCCTTTGCAGTTGAACCATCCAACTAAATATTGATGTGTCTTAATGGCAACTCATTCGCCTGCAGAAGGCAAACAATCCATTGTAAAGCACGCCCAATGCTTACTTTAATCAAAAGTTTATTCCCCCTTCTGCTCTAACATTTGTGTTATTGTCATCACACGCCTAGGCTTTAATTTGATCAATTGTGTTTTTTTCTTGCAGAAACTGGACGAAGATTTAGAAACGGTTATAGCTTTACCATCGGTTGGTGATACATGACCCAGGAACTTTCCATAAGGGAGTGAAACTATTGTAACATGTTCTTTAGTTTTCATTGATTGATAGTGTTTTTCGCCTACTCTCTTTTGCGTTGAAGTAACATCTTTTCAACCATCGCAACCAATTCCACAACACATTACTAATGGTACTGCATCGTCTTCTTCTAATTTTACATTATTAGCTGTGCGAACTTTTCATTTGTCAACTATTTCGGAAATATTGTATATACGAAAAGTGGCATTAACAATCGAAACAGTTGCTCTATTAGAGATCAATGCACCTTTACTTCTGCTATCGAAGTCATCGCTTTTTAAATAAACTATGGGCTTATTTGAAGGATTCAGCGACATATTTTATTAAACTAGCATCATTTGGTCTGTATATACAACTGATAAGTATATGTTTGTTGTTATACAAACACATACATATATATATCATGTTATACAAACATATATAAATATATATATACTAGCTGAGTTTGTAAGTCTTTTCCACACAAACCTTTTGCCTTATTTTCTTAATCTAGCTGTCCGTATCGGTAAATACAGGTCTTTTCTTCTACTTCTATATTTATCAATTCCACGCCAATCATTTCTTTACTTGTTCTTTATTTACTTCAATATTTTTTAGTAAACTGTGGAAAAAAATTCATTAAAAAAATTTGCTTTAAGAGCAAAAAAAACTATAACATACGCACTTTTTCCGCATGCGTATATAGCTTATTAAACCCCGTTTATTTATTTTTTATTTTTTTAAATTCTGAACTAAACTACTTCCTACTTTTAGACCAGCCATGGACCATGGTTTATGGTCGCGTCCTAGTCATATTCAATAGTTTACTATATTTATTATTATTATATGCTTAGATTTGAATAATAACGGTCTTTTATAGTTATCTTTGTATTAGACGGAAACGGTAATGCAATTCTTTAAAACGTTAGTCGCTTAAAGCGTCAAAAGTCATGCAAAAAAATAAATTATAAATTTTGTGGTTTAAAAGTTGAAGAATTAATAATATTATAACAAAAAGTTTGGTAATTTTTAAACGTTACTATTTAGCTCTTACTTATGGTATTTATTTTGTTTTCATTTTACATTTTTAAAAAAATGTTGAAGCACCTAACTACATGCATAACTTTGATAGCTCACAAGTTAAGTGCGCAGTCATTAGAGTCGCTGTGCAAGGCTTAAAATCCGCGCCTAAAAAATCTCAGTACATTTTTTTTAATTTTTTTAATCTGGCTATATTTATAGCAAAAAATTAAATATAACAAAAAACCTTTTAATTACTTTTTTTTTCCCTGCCTCCACTGCAATACCATGTGGAGTAGCAGGACGGTTTTATCAAACTTTTTCCTTATTAGGTTTTAGGACCTATTTTTTTAAGACTATCAGTAGCTTATTAGGACAAATTATGCGAGAACAGTGTCAAAATCGTGACACACACGCAAAAAATTTTCGCCACGTTTATTGGTGTTTTAAGAAATCCAAAAAATTTATAAAATTAAAAAAAAAAAACGGTTAAAGTGTATAACATTTAACTTGTTTAACTTCACAAATATTTTGTAATTTAAAGAAAAAAATCGCTGGCGGTAAATTTGAACTACGACTATAACTTCAGAGGCTTAGAGCGCTAACCACTCGGCCATGCTGACACAAATATCGAAATTTTAAAAATATATAAAAACTGTTTTTAACGGAATTGCTTTAGATCAAAAAATTAGGAGAGGTTGACGCAATGCAATTTTTAAGTCAAAGTCAAAGTATAAAACTTGAAAAATGTTTCAGTATGTTTTATCATTACTTAATTACGTACGTTAGATATTTGCATACACGTTTTCTTCTAAAAAAAGTGTTGCGACTCTTTCTACTAACACTACTATTAAGTTTGGCATTATTATATAGAAGAAAGATAGATTATAAAATAGTTTTTCACTTAAAAGGACAAACTCTATTCCACATTAACCTTATCTCTATTTCTCCCTCTAATATTTTTTAGTGAACAATAGATTATGTGCTAGAAAAAAAAAAAAAAAAATTCACATATGCACCTTTTCCGTATATTTATATTTAGAGCTTAACATGAAGAAGGTAAATCATTTAGTTCAAGACAACCTGCCCAAACCCAAATCCTCTGTTGATTTATGCACACTCACTGTCGCTAGGCGTGTAAAATAAGTAGCTAGGCAAGTCAAATAAATTAATTGATCTGTTTTTCTGCATAAAAAAAAAACAGCAAATGTGATGTACTTGATATAAGGAACTGTAATATTGGATTTAATTAATTCAATACAAAGTGATAGGAAACTGCAAAATAAGGTAGCAACGTGAAAATTATTCAAATACTAATTTACAACAATTTTTATTGCGTTTTATTAAAATAGCTTTATTAAATAGTATGAAGATTGATAATTCTTCTTCTTCGCCTTTAGAAAATGATTAACGATTTGAAAGACTTTTAAATTGATTATAAAAGCATTATCTAAAAATGAAATAAAATCATTATTAATAACACTGAACGCACATTTATTTGTTTTATGTTAATTCATTTGAAAAATGAAAAATACGAAACGAAATTTAGTAATATTAAATAAATATTAGACACTTACTTTGTGAGAGTGCTTTTGTAAAAGTCTCTAATATTTGGTTGGAAGGCTGGAAATACTCTTTTTTTTTTTTTAAATTCAGTTTTATCAGCATTGCTAAAGATAAAAATTCTTACTGTCACAAAAAAATTAGGCTTTTTCTTAAAATATTTCTTGGCTTTTAGTGAATGATTAGGAGTAAGTTTCAGTAATGAAGCTACCCAATAATCATTTTTAACAATAGACACCAACGTGAAGGTAAGCCAAGCTGTCTATTAACACAAAAACATAACAACAATATTACAGGATGACAAACAATAACACCAGTAGTGTAGGCAGGATTTTTGTTGTTTCAGGTATATAGAATTATTTTTTGTTTGGAATTTGTTGTTTCAGATATATAGAATATATAGTGTAGGCAGGATTTTTGTTGTTTCAGATATATAGAATTATTTTTTGTTTTGAATTTTTTGTTTCAGATATATAGAATATATAGTGTAGGCAGGATTTTTGTTGTTTCAGATATATTTAGAAGCTGTTGAAGAGTTTAACTTTGTTATGTCTAAAAAAATTCAGGTTAGGAAAAACACTTTTTTTAAACATTTGTCCCTAAGCTTTAACAACATCAATTTTTTGCAAAGTTTTTTAATTCTATAAACGTGAATACACTTAAGTTTGATTGAAAGTGCTATCTGAAGCATCAAAAGACCCTGCCAGTGCTACTGAATACACATAGCATAAAATGTTTGTACATAACACAAAATATTCAGATTATGTGTTTCCAGAATAATTAAAAAAGCTAGACAACACAACCTAGCTCAACACTTGTAACACCACTTGGCACTAAACGCTGCCAAGTAACACCACAATTTAGTAACACCGCTTGGCATTAAGTGCCAAGTAACATCATTAGTAACACCGCTTGGCTAGCAAGAATCACAATCTTGCACAACACGTTGCCAAGTAACACCACTTTTCACATGGAAACAACTTAATATAAAATAATATAAACTTAAGCACATAAATATAAATAAAGATATATAAACGAATATCTTATTAATTTTTTGCTATACTAATCTAAAATGAACAAAAACAATAAAGTGCTATTTATCAGTTTAAACCTATGAAACTATGTGTATAGCGTCTAATAAAATTTGTGAACAAAAGATATAACTAAACTGGTTTGCAACAGAGAAAAAGCCAGAAGTATCTTGTAATAACATACTATATTGTAAGAAATAAAACAGTATTTTTTGAAACAAATAAAAAAAAAATTATTATTTTAAAAGTCATATTAATGGTAATATTAAAAAGCAAAATTAGTTACAAATTTTTAAATGACATGCCAACAATTGCAAACATGTTACATCATATAGACCACATGTGGCTGACAACTGATTTAAATACTATTTTATAATATATCTAAAGAGAATAATGTAAAGAGATTAATAGGTGTATAGTGCATATATTAGACATTAAACAGATATCATAGAAAAAGAAAAACTCCATCGGTAAAAAGCTCTTGGAGATATTGGACCTGGGTGCTGGCAGCGATATTGCAGGAATTCTTGATGCGATGCTAAAAAACAAAAACAAAAAAAGAAATAAATTTGAATACAATACTGCACAAAACAACCAATAAAAATATTATTTAAAACTATTTAGACTTCAAAAAAAAAAAAGTTATGACAAAAAAAATAAATAAATAAAGTAATGTAAAAATAAGGATATGCAATGTTTAAATTTCATATATACCTACACAAATACACATAACACCCACAAAACTGCATAAGTATGCAAAACAGATTACCTGATGGTCCTGCAGATATTGTTGCTATTATGGAATTAAATAAAAAAGTATATGAACTAACACATATATTAAACAGTTATGTAATTGCATACAAACATGAAAAAAGTAATGTTTAGGTTTCAATACACATAACACAGCATAAGTACGGAAAAACTGCATAAGTATGCAAAACACATTACCTGATGGCACTGCAGATGATATTGATGCTATTGTAAAAGTAAAAAAAAAAAAAAAGTGTATAAAGTATCATATGTTAAACATTTATGAAATTGCATGAAAACATGAAAAAAAAAAAAAAAAATTAAGTTTCAATACACATAAAACTCATAAAACTGCATAAGTATGCTAAACAGATTATCTGATATTATTGCTTGAGGTGTTAATGTATAGACAAAAAAATATATAAATAAAGTGATGTGCAAAATAAGATATGCAATCTTTAAGTTTTACATTAAATTACATCATTACCTGATGGTACTGCAGATGATATTGATGCTACTGTGAAAGTAAAAAAAAAAAAAGTGTATAAAGTAACATATGTTAAACATTTATGTAATTGATAACAAACATGAAAAAAGTAATGTTTAATTTTAATACACATAACGCTCATAAAACTGCATAAGTATGCAAAACACATTACCTGATGGTACTGCAGATGATGTTGATGCTATTGTAAAGGTAAAAAAAAAAAAAGTGTATAAAGTAACATATGTTAAACATTTATGTAATTGCATGAAAACAGTAATGCCTAAGTTTCAATACACATAAAACCCATAAAACTGCATAAGTATGCTAAACAGATTACCTGATATTATTGTTTGAGGTGCTAATGTAGAGACAAAAAAAAAAATAAATAAAGTAGTCTGTAAATTAAGATATGCTATCTTTAAGTTTTAACACGCATAACACTCTTAAAACTGCATAAGAATGCAAAACACATTACCTGATGGTACTGCAGATGACGCTATAGTGGAGGTAAAAAATATATATTTACATAAACTAACATATACTAATCAATTAAACAGTTTATTTTAGAGTGATAAAACCGCACACAAACATCAAAAAATGTGTGTTAAAATTAAACAAAAAGAAACATAAGTGTACTTTGCTTACCAATTGAATTTTCTAAATTTTCTAAATAGAATAAAAAAAAACTCATTAACATTAGGAAAGAAACTAACATGCAGAATATTTGTCAACTTTAGGAAATCTATAAATAAAGTTGGAACAAAACAAAAGGCAAAAATAACAATCACAAAACAAAACAAACCAAAAAAGATAAAAAAGCGACAAAAAAAAAATAAAAAATAAAAATAAAGAAACAATCCACAAGAACAATATAGTAACTTACTAAGTTGTTGAAATATAAGCCCTATAAAAAGAAATGCTAAAAATTGTATCAAAAAAGCTAAAAGACCATAGAATACACCTTTTTTTTTTGAAAGTAAAATGCTATATCTTTATCTATAATACACAAATGTAATATAATCAAATTCTGTTTACCCATTGAATGTTCTAATTTTTCTAAATAAAATGAAAAACTTAAACATTAAAATAAACTAACTTGCCAAATATAGAATAACTTTATGTTAAATAAATATGTAATAAAAAAAATAAAGAGCATTACAACAACAATAACAAATTGCTTACTTGGATTCTCAACAGAATCTTCTAATTTTTCTAAATAAAATAAATTTAAAAGTTACAAATATCACTTGCTGACTGACAAACTGTCACAACTGACAAAAGTCAATAATAAAGTCAAAATAACTTTAAAAAAACTAAAAAAGCATAAATGTATTTGCACACAAAAAAAAAAACAAAACAACAACAACAAAATTCCTCACTTAGCTTGTCCATTACTTCCGCTAAACATTAAAAAAAAGTTATAATTAAAAAATTGCTGAAATTGGTGAAATATATATCTTTGTAACATATCCTTCTCATACAAAATTAGCTTACTTAGCAAGAGCTCTTCGGCTCTGATCTCTTGAACATCTAATATATATATATATATATATATATATATATATATATATATATATATATATATATATATATATATATATATATATAGACAAAATTAATTTTCAAAATATTTACTTTTTCAATTAAACATATAAGATTTGTCTTAAATTATAAAACTGTTGCACAGTTTTATAATTTAACACATTCAGTAAATGACAAAAAGTTTCATTTTACGTAAAAGTTTAGTAGTTAGAAGACTTAAAAGTCAATTTTAGCTTAAACACGTTTTATAAAATTATAGCTTAAACACCTTAAATAAAGTTTATACGCGTTTTTAAGGTTCACTGCTTTACAAAAACATCAATCAAAATAGCGGAATAAACAAAAACTGAGTTTTGGGTCTACCCTTTTAAAGTTCTAAAAACTAATTTATATATTTTTTAATTTTAGTTAAATTTTAGGGGGGTGTACTTGATTCACGGGGTTAGGGGAGGGCGGCATATCTTGGTTGATTTTAATTAAAAACGGCTAAATTAAATCATCGTTTTATTCACACCGTAAATCAAGTACAGCTCCGCCACTTTTAGAACATATGTAACTTCTACTATATATAGTATATATATATATGGCTTACTTCGAAAAAATGCAGAAACTTTTTCTTCGCCTAAAGATATACAAAATTATCTTAATGTAATTTCTTAATAAAATAATAAGCTAAGTATCTCAGTATTATTGACGTATCATCTCTTTTTATCTCTTTAATTAATTAATGTTATACAAAATTAAAAGAATACCTTCTGTATCTTGGCTGCTCATTTCTAAAAAATAATCTTAATGTTTATTCTATTGGGTCAAAAACATATTAACTTCAAACATATTAACATGGTAATTATAAAATAAGTTTAATTTTTTAAATGAAGATTACAATAATTAAACTTGTAGATACAACTTACTTGTCGTCCCTCGCTTTGCAATTGTTATAATCGATATGAAGACCACATGGACGAGTTTTATTGGTTTTAGAGTACAGTTGGCGCACATATCATAATACAAAAATCAGATGGTTTTGAATCTATTAATTAAGCTTTTTTTATTAACGGATTTGGTGGATTTAATGAGATAACCGCAAGGTAGTTTTACAGTGGTTTAAGAGTTGGCTTACGTTTCGTAATACAAAAATCATTTAATATTTGTTTATATCTTAATATTAGAGCATTTCTATTAGCGGATTAGGCAAAATTTTGTGGGTTTTCTGTTTGTCACCTTCTGGAGTAACTAAATTTTTTTTTTTAGGTTTCAGATTACAATTTTTTTTTTCATACCTTTCCGTACTTTTTAGGACTCTTGACCAGTTAGTTTTAATAAAAATTTCAGATTGCATGTAAAACCTTTTTTTTATATATATGAGAAAGAAATTTATCTCTTTAATGTGTGTTGAACTCGCAGTTTTAACTAATTACCTAAAACATAAGTATCTCTATCATGATATATGCGCAACAAATTTCCAACAGCATTTTTATGTTTTTAAAAATTTTAAAAAAAGTTTTAAAAAATTCTCTCCGTTTGGTTTCTTATAGTATATTATATCTTTATTTTTATGTAATGCGTATAACATCTATATGCATTTAAACTTGTTTTTCTTTGTTTTGCAGAAAACTGGATAGGATTTGAAAAAAAAACTGTGTAAGCAAAAGGTTTTGAACCGAAGCGAAGCACTTCAATCGCTGTGGAATGCTATATCATCTTTTTACACTATTTAATAAACAGAAAACTTATTAAACTTTAAAAAACAACATTCAATGCTTTAAAATAAAGAGATATTGTCGCAATGAAATTATTAAGTAAAAATAAATCGGTAGTATTTGATGTCATCTACTTTATAATAATACTGATTGATAATTAAAGAACTTAAAGTTTACATATTTATATATTTGAATAGACTTTCGTTCACATTGATAAAATACAAATCATAACGGATTGTGGTTCCGAAAAAAAAGGTTAATGCACTACCATCTATAATTATTGGAAAGGTCATATTTTTTAATATCAAAGATATCAAAGTTTGTCGAAAAAGTGAAAACAATATCTACCTGAATTATATGTTATCTTCCTATTTATTAGGTTTACCAATAAAACTTCCCTGATTAGTTTATAATTTATTCAAAGCCTTGATTAGCTTTTAATTTATTTGCCTATTAATCACCCTTAACAACAATAACCGCCATAAATATATTCTTAGCATTCTACTTAACGACTTATCTAATTAGTCTAAGTATAAAAAAAAAAAAAAATACCCATGTATTAACTGAATATCAATTTATTTATTTATTTAATTTAATATATATAATATATAATTTAATATATATAATTTAATCTAATTAAAATAATTGAAATACTACCAATCAAATTACTGATATTTTTTCTATAGCATTGTTAAAAATGGTCGTATTCTGAAAGGTAAAGAAATTTATTGAAAAGAAAGTTGCACAAAAGAAAAAAAAAACTAAATAAAAGTTATTCGTTTCAAAAAACGTTTTACAAAGAGTTCTTCCAAACAATTTTAATTTTTAATTGGGTTTTTTTTGAATTACGTCATAAGCATATTACGGCGTTTTGAAAAACAGTTGCTGCATATTATTATAGTAAAAAAGTTAATGTAGCAAAATAAACTTTTAATTGTCAAAAGAAAGTTTTAAAGTTTTATCTAGCTACAGGCTTTTTTTTTTTTTTGCCTCCACAGCAGCATCTTATGAAGTAGCAGGGCTGTCTTGTTAAGTTTTTTTTTTATTAAGTTTCAGACAACTTTTTTTTCAGACCATCCGCAGCTTATCAGGACTAATTACATTCGCACATTAATAACATAAGTGTCTCAATTATCATAGATACGCAACATATTTTTTCTCCTGGTGATGTTTTATTTTTTTTTTTTTTAATGTTTTATGAAGTTTTAACATTCTTAAAATCTTTTCTTTTGTGAGTGCATAATATCGTTACGTTACATATGTTTGTATATAATCTTTATAAAACTTCGAAAGTATTTTGTATTTTAAAATAATTAAAAAAATTTAAAAAAATAGCCGCCTTTAGTAGGAGTCGAACCTCTAGTTACTTGTTCAGAAGTTCGCCGCCTTATCCACTCGAGCTACACCGGCATAATATCAAGCTTAGATTTTATAATAATCTAGTAATTTTTTTGAGGAAAAAAATGTTAGATCAAAAGTAAGGAG